ACACACTCTCTCTCTCTCTCTCTCTCTCTCTCTCTCTCTCTCTCTCTCTCTCTCTCTCTCTCCGTTCTCCCTTTTTCTCCTTCTCTTTTTCCTTCCGTTCCCCAAGCAAGCATCGTGGAAACTTCGCCTCTGACCACATTCCGCTCGTTACGATCCGCGCCAATTCCTTCCCCTGCAACTTTCCATTCATTCGATTATTTATCCGCCGATCTTGGGTGCACACAAGCTTGGTTGTATACAAAGCGAGAGAGATTCTTCCCAGAAATTTGTTATCTCGCGTATCGTGTGATATTTTAAAAAAATCGTATCGATTTGTCCCTTTCCCCATCGATGGAACGATTCTATCATTGAAAATCGAAGTCATTTTCATTCGAACAAGGTGAAAATTCGCAGAATACAGTAATCGACAACGATCAATTTATTCGTGGAAAATTGATAATTGGAAATTCACAGCTCGGGATCGATTCCATTGGGCCGCGATCCTAATCGCGAAAATTTAATCCTCGCACGGAGGAGATATTGGCACGCGTCGACGATATCGATCCGTTCCCCATTCAAAAATTGGAGATTGAAGAAATTGCGCGACGAGGATCTGCGGGCTCTGCTCGTGACTCCCTCCCCCCCCGGTGACCCAGTAATCGAGGGGGTCGATATTCACCGGGGTGTCTAACGGCGTCTAACGTTACAACGTATCGCATGAACGCCGCGTGTGTCTCTCCCTTTAAATTCGAGCGGGGGGGAGTTCGACGACTCGTTGCAAGCCGATCAACCGCCTCGATTTTTATCTCTCGATAAAATTCTTCCAACGGAATTTGAAAAGAAACAGCAGGTTTAGGATACGTTTTCCTATTTTTTTTTTAATTTTCCAACGAAAGAAATCCTCTTGATTTTGATGTTTGATTCTGCTTTCGAGAAAACATCGGAAATGTACACGTGTTCTTTCGATTCATTTTTTTTCGAACTTTCGAGTTTGTCATTTCGCTTCAAGATTTGGAAATTGTTTTTTTTTTCTCTTCCTTGCAAGGTGATATTGGAATCTAATTTGGATTCGGAGGAAAGATCGGGTTGAAAATCTTCTCTTCCTTCCTCTTCTCTTCGTATTGTTAAATGGTGGTGGTGGTAGACGGATAGATAGGACGGATCGATTGTTATTTCGACACCGTTCGTAATACCCGGCAAACACGAGACCGAGCATTCGTTCCGTCCGCGGCCAATGGAAATGAGAGACACTCGACAACTTTTAAAAGCCTCTGACGGGTGACTTTTCCTTTTTATCCTCGCCTTGAATTTCGTTGATTAACGGCCGATCGATCGATTCCTTTAAAAAGACTTCAACATTCGGAGGGAATTGAATTTTTTCTTCTTTCGTCGATCAATCCAATTAATCGATACGAGCTTTCTTTGTTTTTCGTTTTTCTTTATATATATATATATATATATAATTTCGATAATTTTTTGTGTAATATATATCATATATAGATTTTCACTGATCAAGGAATTGAGATGGAGATAAAATTTATGTATTTTTCAAATCTTTTTTACTAAAAACAGCAAGTAATATATTCCCAGAAAAATGTTTTCATTTCGATCGAATATGAAAAAAAATTCCGAGTTGATCGATAACCTTCTTAAATATAAATACGAGTGCAAAAGATTAATAAAGGAAGAACGAACGTGTACGTTTTTTCGACTCAACCTCGTTCTTTAATTCGGAACAACTGTTAATGTCGCGATTAAACTCACGCTTCCAACTGCAAAGGCAGAAATTTTCTATCGTATCTTCTCCAAATATAAAAATTGTATCTTTGTTCTCGGAAAAAACAGAGCCACGTAAACGTAATTAATTCGAATCTCTTTTCTTATTTTTAAAAAGTTCGAAACTCATCGATCGATCGTTTCTCGTCAATTTAAACGCGACAATTAATCCTTGCCTTGTCAACAAAATTGTTTAAGCAGAATTGGAAAGATAAGCGCGTAGAGGAAACAGAATGCAACAAGATCGCGGATCGAACGGACAATGGTAGCCGAGTTATCTCGGTGAAACTTTTAAATAGCTTTCTCGCTGGCAGGGAACGTGGACGCCCTGATAAAAAGAGTTTACGAACCCGGCCGGGCTTATTCTTTAAGGCTTGCTTTCCCTTCTTATTTGCCGGCCACCTGCAAATTTCGCGATCGTGCAATGCAAATAACGAGGGGGAGGAGGATTCGATCGGAATCGAATTTGCGAATAGTTTCCTTCCTTGCCAGTTGCACTAACAAACCGATAATGCAAACTTTTTCTTTCGTGGAAAAAAGGGATCGTGGAAGCGATGGGGAGAGAATGGATCGAGAAATTATATTTGTACGTCGAAGAAGAAAGAAAGAATTTAATTCGGAGAAATTGTGTACATAACGAATGGAAATTATTTTTCATTAAACCCGTACGACGACGGGTTTCGAGAAAAGAAACTCTATTCAAAGGAAAGAAATGAATGACACGAAGGATTCGAAAATCCTTGATGGACCAATCGAATTATTTAACTTAATTGTAACGAGTGACAGTCGTTGGCTTAATTTCGAAACTGATTACAATGTTTTAATTAAGTACTTTATCCAATTGAATTAAAAATCGTAAAATAAAAATGTATATCCTTCGTATTGAAGCGAAGAAATATTCGACGACGGTTAACGGTGATGCACACGATCCGTCGTAAAAGTAGAAGAAGATTTCGATAAATTTAGAATGCGGCTCTCTTGTTGATCCTCCGCTCTTGTTGCTCGGCCACCACGGTTTTTGGGGTCAAGGAAAAACGTCGTGGAGACGGGATGTTCCGGGACCTGGTTCGATTTTCTAATTTCTAGAAACCCCTCGTTCGAACGAGAGTTATTCACAGAGGGTTTCATTCAGAACCCTTTTCCGAATAGCGGCCAGAACTCGTGGAGACGAGCCTATTTACTTCGAGTTCCGTGGATGAGATACGTGATGTCAAAAGCTGGAATACTTTGGCTGAAGGGATGATGATGGGGACAAATTTGGAAATTCGTATTCAATTTTTTTCACCGCTGTCTTTGGATCAACTTGGAGAACGATGAACTTCGACGAAACATCGAGTGTTTCTTAATGGATAGAGATAGGTTATGTAGTAGATATATCAATTTATATTTCTATTTATATCGATTCATATCGATGAAAATCAATCGAGCAGTGAAATTCTTCGACTTTTGTATCAATTTTTGGAGACGTGGAAATATTTTTAAACGTATAAATCCGCTCGAACGATTCTTTCGTTGTTTGATATTTAACGAATTCAACGTCGCAGACGAAGCGATCGATTTAAATTTCGTGGAGTTTTCTGAAATCGAAGGATCGACGACGAAGGACGCGTCGACACGTCCTCCACCGTTCAGGGAGAAAGGGAGGAAGCGAGCGAAAAGTGTTTCAGGGAACTTCGATCGCTGTTAAGCGGATTTACCGTGGCACGCGCACACGTTTCACGAGCACAGTGGGGCGGATAATGACGTTAAGAGGATCGGGAAGCTTGGTTGTGGCCGGGCACCGGTTGGAAAGGAAAAGTGTGCGGATGAATCTATACGATCCTGCGAGATCGAATCGTAGTCGAATCGTTGTTGTCCATCTCTTTGATACTTGGCGCGTGCCACCTATCGGTTTACTTGTTGAATATCTACAACGCATTCGATGACGCGAAATTATCTATCGATTGTCGCTTCCTCTTCCCGTCGTTTTCGTTGACAAATCGTTGTATCAAACGCGTGAATTATCGGAGTTGGACGACAAAGTGGATTATAACCATAAGTTTGGTGATTTTGGGGAGGAGAGAAAATTGTCGAAAATTGAAAATTTTCGAGGAGCGTTAATATCATAAGATCGAACAGGAACAGGAGATTGGAGATTGAGAATCGTACGGATGGAACGAATGTAATCGATCAAAGTCGAGCCGTAACGTAACGCCAGATGAATTCTGTTTCAGTTACTTGGAGATATACAACGAGAGGGTGAGAGATCTTTTGAAGCCGTCCTCGAGCACGGGAGGATTGAGAGTTCGCGAGCATCCTCGACTCGGCCCTTATGTTCAAGGTACAGGCCGATTTTCGTTTCCTTCCGTCCGATCCAGTTATAAATCATATCAACGAATAAATTTCCTTTCTTCTGTAAATTAAATTTAAGTAATTTACTTCGTATCAAGAAATGTAACGATTCATTTTATCGTACCCATATCGTACAAGGAAAAGTAGAAACTTTCTACTTTTTTCTTCTTCTTCTTCTTCTTCTTTTTCTCCGTCCGTAATTTAACCCTTTGCACTCGTATTTATATTTAAAAAGGTTACGGATCTTTCTTTTTATATTCAATCGAAATGAACACATTTTTCTGGGAATATATTACAAGTTTTAGTAAAATTTGAATTATTATTTCTTTATTTTATCTTATTTCACGTATACACAAACATTTAAGCAGAAACTAAAAGAAAACATCGTAACAAGCATTCCTAGAACACAATACTAATATATATTTATAATAATAAAATGTAGGACTAGCAAAGGGTTAATTCGCAAAACATCGCGACAGCATTGTACATTAAAACTTTAATCTTAACGCCACGCAACACATTTTCTAGCCCTTTTACCTCTTTTATCAATTTGACTCGTTTTTTCCCCCTTCCATTCCCCTTCCGGAACACAACAACAGGTTTGACCCATCACGCGGTGCGCACCCTTGCCTCGTTGATGTCCTGCGTGGAGGAGGGTACGAGGGCCCGGAGGACAGCGTCCACGTTGCAGAACCCGAGCAGCAGCCGCAGCCACGCTCTTCTCACGATCGTGGTCGGCGAGGGATCGGCGAGCGGAGGTGCACGGTCCTCGTCGAAGACCTCGCCGCCATCTCGCGGCGGCAGCAAGCTACGACTGGTCGATCTGGCGGGAAGCGAGAGCGCGGCTACCTGCGGTGGGGTTCACCGGCTGAAGGTGAGTCGTTCCCTGAAAATAACGCGAATCGCAGAGAATCGATCGATTCGGGGAGGATGGAGAAAGGAAGGGGGGGAATGACACGTGTCTGTTTGCAGGAGGGCGCGAATATAAACAAGAGTCTAGTGGCTCTGGGGAACGTAATATCAGCCCTTGCGGAGAGAGGCACGAGCCCAGGGAGTGGGCCAGGCAGGAGGTTCATCCCTTATAGAGATTCTTCGCTTACTTGGCTGTTGAAGGACGCACTTGGCGGAAATGCCGCTACCATTATGCTCGCCAGTAAGTGTCTCCTCTTCCCTTTGATCTTCCCTCCCCTCCCCGATACTATCCACCCTCCTTCCCTATCTCTCTCTCTCCCCTCCTCGTCTTATTTATTTTTAGAGAAGGCGCCGTGTCCACCTCGCTTAAAAAGAGATGATTTACGCGTTGAACGGAGCAGCAGCAGCAGCTTTCTTTTCGATTCGTCGCTAATCAGGTTTACACCGGATCCTCCCTCCTCTCGTTCCATTCAGAGACCTCGGGTTACTTTCCTCCCCTCCCTCGCAGGATCACGATATTTAATTTTGGAAGACGACGACGACGAGGAAGAAGAGAAGGAGGAGGAGGAAAAGGAGGAAGAAGAAAAGGAAGAGGGAGGGAAAAGGAAAAATCGATGGCCGCTTTTTCATCCACTTCGTCACACTCTTTCCATCCCCTCAACCTCGTCGCTTGCTTAACTCCATAGCTTTCCATAAATTCCAGTTAATTGCTAGAGGAGAATTATTATCGCGAGCCTCTGATTCATGAAATTATCCCCTCCCTGGCCGCGATACTCGAGGAGCCCGGAAACCCGAGGGCCGAGGATGGTAATTGGTTTAAATGCTTTTTCCAGGCGGGCTAAGGCGCGAGGGGATTAAAATTCGATAACCGGCGCGAAAGCGTAGCGACGGGAATCGGTAAATACGAAATCCTTTAAAGCTTTAAATCGAGAGTCGCAGTCGTTTCCCCGTTTTGTCGAACGTTTCAATTCGTCGACGAGGGGTGAAACGCGACGATTTTCAATTCTCGCATAGGTAGATAGATAGATAGATAGATAGATAGGTAGATCTGTTGTATTAGTACGCAATTTCACTGTAGAAACAGATGAAAGTAACGATAGATAGATAGATAGATAGATAGATACCCGATACGATACCCATTTTCGCTCGCTCTTTGGAGGACGAACGAGTTGGCAGTAGAGTAGGTCGATCGTAGGTTGATTCGTAGAATTTGAATTACGCACGTAGAGAAAACGCAGTATGGAATAAAAAGAGGAGAGAAACTCTGTTTTCACGCATCCACGTAGAAAGGGTGAGTTGTATTTTTCGCAAAAAATAAGTAGAACGAATCACTTGGTACCATAATCGTGGTACGAAACCTGGTAATAAATCCTTCTCCATTCGTTTTCACATCGTGATACGCGTCACTATATTACTAGTGATAATCGAAAAAAATCTCGAGTGTAGCCGATACGTTTCTCGTCGAAATATTTCCGAGATTCGATTCCATCCGATCGAGAAAAGGTTTTTGTATTTCGCGATTTATCGATACGGAGAGAAAGAGAGAGAGAGAAAAAGAAAATACACTTTCTCCTTTTCTGTTCGCACGACAAGCGTATCGACAATCGAGGCTGCTTCTATTATTTCGTTTCGTGATTTTCGACCGTTCTAACGCAATAACGCGGCTCCGCGTTTAAACGAGCAAAAGAGAGAAATTTATCCCCCTTCTTCGAATTATTCCACTATTTCCAGACGAGTGGAAACCATCTAATGCATCCAACACGGTATATAATCGGTGGAATCCAGATGGAAAAACGATTGGCTAATTAGCGCGGCCGGACTCCCGATACCACGTAAACGGAAGAATTGGCAAATATTCGTAGGCCGGCCGCGATGCGTATAATTAATCGCGGCGAAATATTCCAAACCGATGATCATCGGCGTCCAATTGAATTGCTAATAGCATTCGGGCTTATTATCGACCCGAGAGGGATGGCGAGGGATGGCGTTTAATATTCAGTATCTGCATTAATGGTTGACCGCGTGTTACGCGGGCCTCTTTTTTTTTTTTTTTCTTAAATGTAAAAATGACATTTTTCATCTCTCTTTCTTTTCTTCTTTTTTTTTCGCGCGAAAAAAATATTATCACAACGAGGATCGATGCGAGAAAAACTCGGCAGTCGAATTTCTGCCGATTTCTTTGACCGCTTTTCTCATCCAATTCCCATTCTCGATGGAATTTAACCCTTCGCAATCCTCGTATTTACGTATTTAAGAAGGTTACGTATTCAAGAGTTAACAAGAATCCGTAGAATGTAATTGTACTATACATACGAGTGTAAAGGGTTAAAATTTGATCGATCGACGATCTTGAGATAACCGCGATTAATTACAACAGGTGGAGGATTAAAAGAGGTGGAGGACAGCAGTAAACGAGCAGTTTGTTTGCGCCAACCTTTTTTTTTCGTTCACGTGTCCTGTTTCCAGCTATCTCGCCAGCGAGCGGAAGTTACAACGAGACAGCACGCACGTTGCGATTCGCGCAGAGGGCGCAGAGCGTGGTCAATCGGCCGATGGTCAACGAGGATCCGGTGGCAAAGATCGTTCGCGAGCTCAGGGCCGAGGTGGCCAGGCTGAAATCCTTGCTTCTGGAGAAGGCAAGTCTCCTCTCTTATTCCTTCTTTAACCGTTTTACTTTTCCAATCCTTGCCTCTTTGTTGTTACCCATCCAATGTGGAATAAAACACGAAAGACGATCGTTCCCCGAATTGGTTTGGTCGCTGCTTTCTCGTACATTACAAGCCACAAAAGAAATGGCAATAACGATAATTTTTCGTTTCGGAATGAAGATATTGATAGAGAGGAGAAAAATAAATTCACCTTTGTCGAAGACGAGGATGGCAAAGTCGATATGTATTTTATATCGAGACCCGCGTTACCTAGAAGAGATTGGCTCGCGAGGATGAATCGAGCAAGTTTATATATATGAAATCGTCATTATGCAAATGAAACGCGGGAATTTATCCGATACTCATTGACCGTTCGATCCTTCCCGTGGAATTGGTCGAAAACGATTGCTGATAAAATACAGTTTCGCAGATGCGTGAGTTTAACGAGTGATCCATTCCATCTATCCGAGTAGATTTTACAATATCCTTCGATCCATGGCCCCAGTCCGTTACGTAGTCGGTCATTAATTAGCTTCATCGAATTTACCCTGGCCCCATTTATGATCGCCATTATACCGATTGCTCGTCGATTTTCGCGTTTCATTCCCAAACCCGTCGCAATTATCTTAATCAAGCCTGCTCCGCTGCTCATCATCGGTTTCGATGTTTCAAAGCTTGTTTGAAAGCGACGCGTTATTTTAATTATCGATGCGGCGCAGGTCGAAGGAGGCGGGTCGTCGATTGGCGGGAAACGATCGATTTCGATTTATTAACGATTTATTTGTTTATCGAGAAAATTGACAATCGAGTTGTACGCGCTGTTGCGAGTGCACAGATAACCATGCCCGCGTTACGATCGCTGAAAGTGGTGAATTTCGCGGAAGGACACGTCGTATTATCCACACCACCATTTGTTAGGTTAGGCCAAGTCACGTGACACGATGCGACGCTTCGTGATCTTCACGGTCACGTGACGCACCTTTGCCCAATGACGTCACGTTATCCCCACCGTTAGATCAGGCACGTCACGTGACACGATTCCACGCTCGAATCCAGTCACGTGACGTTAGATTAGACAGAGACAAATGATACACGTGATGCATGTGGCCGTGTCTCCGTCTAATCGACATCGTGGAATAAATATCCATCCTTCTTCAATTCTATTTCTCTCTTTTCTTTCAACTTGTCTTACAGCCCGTCATACATTGTTGCGAAAAAATCCTGCTCCTTTTTTGCAGAACACGGATCCGGATGCGAAGGTGTTGTGCCGTTGCCAGAACACAGATCGAGCAGAGTTCATCGGCGAGCAAGTTGGATCGTGCGAACGAAACGCGGAACGAAATTCGAAGGAGGAGGAGGAGAAGGGAGGGATAGAATCAACGGCGAAGGAGGGTAAAGGGTGGAGGGAGGGCACCGTCTCGCTTCAAAGATCCAATTCCACGGACACCGTGACCGCGTATCGTGTCCCTCCTTCGACGGGGATTCGGAAGAGGTTCGGAGGTTCCTTGGAGATTTTGAGCGATCGTTTCGGGGCCAGCTACAACCGAGCTCGAGTGACGGAGTTGAACGAGGAGGGAGGGGAGGAGGAAGTGAGCGAGATCCACGAATCCGTGTTCGTCGACATACCGACATTGGTCGCGGTCCTCATCAAACCAGACGATAACCCCGAACAATCGCCCTCGCGGATCGAGGAGATCTACCCGGACGAGGTCGTGGACGAATCGAACGACGTGGAGTTCATCGAGGGTGATCGATCGTACGAGAACTCGCGTCGCGCGTCCGACAACGAGGCGTTACACGATACAAATTCGGCCTCGAGCCCCGTGGCAACCCGTGGACAGGTGGACGAGCCCGGTAGGGAGAGAAAGCGAAAGTTTCGCAAGCAGGATTCGGTTGACGCGATCTCCTCCTCCCCTCTGTCGAATTTGCACGCCTCGAAGAGGTTCGGCTCGGTGGAGGCGATCCAGAGGAGGGGGGAACCCGCGTTCTCGTTGCTCGAGAGATCCTACACGAGCTTGGAGAATCGAGTCGCGAAAAAATTGAACAACATCCGGGAGGTGGAGGATCGTGGGAAGAAGAATTCGGGAGGGTTCAAGCGGCCGAGCAACAACGAGCCGCTTCAGCGCAAGGGGAGCAACGACTCGGACAGGAGTCTGAAGGAGTGCGCGAATCAATCGAGGACGACGAGCAGAAGCTCGTACGCGAGGAAGCCCAGTTTGGAGAGCCTGAGGCGGAAGAGCAGCAAGGACAGCAGTTCGAGCAGCTCGAAGGACGAGCAGATCCTCCCGGCCTTGTGTCGGGGTCCTGGGCAAGAGAAGAATTCGAGCAGAAAGAATTCTCTGGAACAGGAGTCCTCCGCCTCGATCCTCAAGAATCACACCCCCGTGCAGAGGGTGAAACGCGCGGAGATCGTGGCCGCGGTCACGGAGAGGTTGTACTCGAGCAAGAGGAGCGCGGACGATTCGCCGGGGATGCGTTCGCCGACGGGGGAGGCGAGCGTGGGCGACGCGGCGGCCGCCAAATCATCCGTGGCCAGGTTGAAGCTGCAAGAGATCTCGAGGAAGATGTTGGGCAAACGAAGACGGGTGAGCGTGGACACGCAGACGGATCGCTCGAGGACCGTCCGAGTGAAGGACACCGCTTCCCTCACCGAAACGCCGGTTGTCGCTCGTCGCGACGTCGCCATCTCGACCGATCATCGCCAAGTTTGCGAGTATCGAGGAGAAGTATCGAAGGGCGGGCCCGTGTTGAGGGTGAAGGAAATCGCCACCTCGACCGATAAACCGAGGACGAGCGTGGTGAGGTGCAGGGACGTGGGCAGCTCGGCGACCGACCTCGAGGATCACGCGATTCTTCGCTCGCCGCGGAACGATTCCGGTATCCTGTCGGACGACGGCCAGAATTATTACGACGGGGAGAGCAGCAATCCGAGCAGCGGCGAGGCGTCCGATTCTTGCCAAGAGGGGAGGAGAGAAAGCTGCACCAACACCAGCGCGTTCTCCACATCTCGAAGTTTCGCGGTGCAAACGTTGCGACCGGAAATGCAAACTGTGCGTGAAGAGGCTCGCGCGAGACGGTGTTGTTGCGCGGCAGAGTCCGTCCAACAGCGGCAGTCCGACGAGAGGAGCGTCATCTCCATATCCTTGCCGGACTCCGTGAGCATCACGATCGAGAGTCGGACAGGATCCAGGACGATCTCAACGATGGACGAAGGGAGGGACGAGGATGGGCGGCTTCGCGGCGCCGCCAAGGAGGAGAGCGCGGGGACGAAGCGGCGGGACAAAGAGACGCCTTTGTCTCGATCCTCGAGGGATCGAGGGACCGCGTCGACGCCCAGCCAGACAGACGGCAAGGTGTTCAGGATCGAGAACATCTTTCACGATCCTAACAACGCGGCCGAGAAGAGTTGTTGTTCGAGGGAGGGTCCTCGAGCGGGGAGCGACGAGGGGGGGCAGGCGAGGATCAGGAATTCCATTACCTTGAGGAATTCCCTCGGTACGTCCGCCCGAGGGGAGAAGGGGCACCAGCTCGAGGGATTTATCAGAGACGGTTTAATCACCGAGGCGTTCATCAATAGGAAGCGGAGTTTCGCCACGAGGAGGGCGCACGGTTCCCTCGTTCGCCAGGATTCGTCGAACAATTGGGACGTCCCACCGTCGTTCTGGCAGCTAGAAATCGGGGAAACCGGCCCGTTCAACGTTCGAACGTGGGAGGCGAATCGTGACCCCGTAACGTCGTCTTCCCCTCCATCGAAATCGAACGACGATCACGGTTTCTCGGACGACAGTTTGGATTACAACGAGAGCAACGTATCCAGCGACGATCCGTCGACAACGCCGAACTCGTCGAAAGGTAAGCAAGGGATGGCGGGAGAACGAGAACAGCGGGAGAATCTTTGCCCGCCCGACGTGGTCGCGCACACCAAGAAGGATTGCCCGAGATCGATCGATCCCAAGAGCGGGCCCGTTGCCGATTTCGAGCAACACGATCGAGGGGAATCCCAGATGAGGAATCCCTCGAAATTGACCGAGATCGCCGATCGCGAGTCCCTCGCGATTTCGGGCAGCAAACCGTTTCTACGTAACTACGTAGGGGAGAAAGAGGAGGAGGAATCCGACGTTTCTCCGAACAATTGCGGAGGGGGAAGAAGAAGAGGGTGTCCTTCTCGAGTTCCACGATCACCACCGTTTCTGAGAAGAGGTTGGATTCGACCGGGATCCATCTGAAGCCGATCATCAAGAGGAGAAGGAGGAGGAGCGCTGTCGAATCCTCGGATCCCCCTGTCCATTCCTCGAACGAGGAGACCGACGACTCTCGGCAAGGGGGGAGGATCGGGTTAATATTGGAGAGCGGTTGGAAAGGGGAGATAGGATCGGCCAGCTCGGAGGAAGGGAAAGAGGAGTTGGCGTTCGAGGGAGAGGAAAGTTCGAGGAAGAATGGTGGCAGGAAGGTGAAGTTCTTCGCGGACGAGTCGTCGGAGAACACGTGTAGCGAGTCGGAGAGTTACGAGAACGTGGAGGAGGAGGAAGAGGAAGAGGAAGAGGAGGAGGAAGAGGAGGAGGAAGAGGAGGAGGAGGAGGTTCTGCTCAATCGTGCGGGCAGGAACGTTCTCGAGGAATATTTGAACGAGGCGGTGACCTTCGTGCGAAATCTCAACTCCATCAACGAGCGCGTCAACTCCGAGACGAGCACAATGGACAGGTGAGGATTTCTCGATCATCGATTCCTTTAATCGTTCCAAATTTTTTCAGAATAATTGTTTTAAAATTATTTAAAAAATTTCTCTCTCAAGGCGTAATCGGTGGCGAAGCGGAACCCCATCCTCTTGGAATCCTCTTCACGATCGCTCGAAATTCGGCCGAGGCGAGGAACCAACGAACCCGACACGGATCGCCGACTTGTCGATCGACGCGTCGACCGAGATCTCGTACGAGAGGTGCGTGAAGGGTATCCAGAGGCTGGAAGACTGCATTCGAAGGATCGACAGGCACAACGAGTTGCTGAAGGAGAAGTACGGCGTCGATTGCGAATCTGCTGGCGCTAGACCGGATCTAGCGTATCCTAGCACGGATCCTCATCGCGCGTCCACCAACGACGACCACCACGACTCGAAAGTTGTGGGGAACGGGACGAGGGAAGTTGGTTCGAGAAGTAGCTCGAGCGTCGCGGAAGGGCGGAAGGACGATTTGGAGAGGAAGATCTTCGATCAGTTGATGAACGTGGCCAATTCCGTCCGGCGGAGTTCGAACGGGCTCTTGGAAATTTCGTCCGATGGCACGAAATTTCCCGATCAATCTGCGCCTCGAGCGACCAAGGAATCGTTCCACGGGGAACTCAGGGGAAATCTCAGCCTCGAGGAGGCTTTGGCCGACGATCGTAAAGACTTCGCCACCTACGAAATTACGGGAAACCTGTCCGTGTGCGGGAGGGCGCCCCGTTTCACGGATCGGAACAGTGACTTGGATTATTATAACAGTTTGGACGAGGACGACTTGTTGCGTCGTTCGAGAACGTTCGATCGTCCCCCTCGATCGAGGGATCGTGCGATTTTCTTCGACGACGACGATTACGACGACGACGATTACGACGACGACGACGCGTTCTCGAGCGCGAGCAATTACGATTCCACTTCGAAACGGGAGACGAGGACGAGTGAAAGTTGGGAAAACGCGAGGAGAAGAAATTGTACTCCCGTGCAAGGGTGGAAAAGGTGTCGCGAAACGGACGATTATCCGCGATGCAGGATGAGGGAAGGGGGTTGCACGCGCGGTTCGAGAGATATCGAGGCCGGTGTCGAGATTATGCCGTGTGAATGCAAATTGAGATATCCGGCAAGTCCGAGGGCGAGATTTCTCGAGCTTTTGCGGGAGAGGCGGCGGATCGTGGAATGCAGCCGTGGCGCGTGTGCCTCTTGAACCGCCACACACACCCTCCTCCCCTTCTTCTCTTCATCGAATCGTAAAATTGTTCTATTTTTCTATTTTTATTAAGTCGCGGGGCGACCACTCGCCCCATCTTGTAAATAATATAACTCGGATCTTTTGTAACAACCCGCACCCCCGCTGCAACGAGAACTTTAACTTATTCAAGTCTTCTTCTGCAAAGTCTTATTCCGAAGTGGAAGAACTCGTGTAATTTCGTCCCCGTTATTAATATTATAAATTACATTCTGTAAAAAAGAGAAGAAGAAAAGATTTTTGTTCTTTCTCGATAATTCGAGAAAAGTTTATACACCGCCTTTCTCAATCGTCGTTTTCCTTCGATCGCAAGATTCTTTGCAGATGATGAACGGCCGATTTTTTCCAATTTAAAAATCAAACGGAAACATTTTTCTACTCGCGTTGTTTCATTATAAACTCGACGGAAACGGCTGGAGGAAATAATTTATCTCGAAGCAATTTCGCGTTTTCTTTATTTTTCAAGGGAGGGGGAAGGGTTTAAAACTGTCACGACGAAATTATCACAAAGGGATCTCTCTCGTTTACGTTACTCTCGTCGAAATATCTCGTCCGCTCAAGAAATTGAAATGAACAATTGAAAGATAAACAAAGGAAATACCGGACAGGATATTAAGGAAGGATGATACGATACGATACTACAACGATCTCTCTCCCTCCCTTTATTTCCAACCGGTTGAAATAACAATAACTTTTATCATTTTCTCCCCGCGGATAAATCTCTTCATCCATCCAGAGATCTTTTAGCCAGAGCCTTTTTTAACGCAGCGGATTTCACGATCCAGAGAGAGAGAGAGAGAGAGAGAAAAGTTCACGAACCGAGCGAATTACAACTTTGATCCGAACACGCTTCGTCTCATCGACTCAAGCGCGTGCATTCTCACGGCGAACAACGTCATCGATGCGATAACCAACGACGAGTAATGATCGCACTTTTCCACTTGGAATGCAACAATCACCGTAATCCGTAAATCTTGTCGTTCCTCGCCGAGATCGATGCAATGTCGCTTGATTTTTTTGCCGGCGAAAGGAAACTTTTGCAGTTAACACCAACTTTTCCCATATGCGTTACGGGCGTGCGAACAGGCATCGTTACGCTTGCATCAGCAATCGAAATGCTCGCGTTTCGCGAGGAGAGCACGCGTCTATTTTCACCTCTTCTTTCCCAATGCTCCTTGCTAAGGATAGTTTCTTTCAGGATATCGAAGGTAAGACGAAGATTTCTTTTCCGATATCCTTTTTTTATAAAATGCCTTTGCACTCTCGTGCTTTATATTTAACAGGATTACCAATTAAGTTAACAAGAGAATGTAATTATAAAATAAAATAGCGCAAAGGGTTAACATTAATTATTCACGAAAAAGTATGTCAGAATCTTTTAACACGTTGTTTTCTCTCAATGAACGAAGCCAGAAATTGAATAAAAAATCTAGGCTAGTTTTCTTAAACAATTTAATAACCATCTCGTCGAGTAAAATCTTCGGCAACACTGCTCACCGACGATCACTGGAGATAAACGTCGATATTCGAAAGAAGATGGAATTTTTGATTGAATTGGAATCGGAACTGAACGTAAAACGAAAATTAAGAACAACGATTAACGTAAACAAGGATATTATTAGCGTATATACCAATAATGGAATAGAATTTTGGAAAAGGGTTAGAATATTTCAATATCCACGATCATCGAATCCCGACACGATCGAAAGAAACATTCGTTTCGCTATTATTCACATATAAATACATACATACAATTTTATTCGTCGTAATTTGAAATTATCGGCAACACGATATTGGGCAATAGATAAAGCGACGAATGCAATCTGTCGTGATAACACGTGATCGTTCCCGATCGTTTCGTTATTGAGAAAAATCATTTCGCGATAAATAGAAATAAACAAAACTGCACACGTTATCGAAGTTTGGATTCGTCTTGCGTAACGATCTAACGCGAAAGCGTCTCGTCCAACAATTCAACGTCCTCCTAAATCGTTAAATCCAATTAACACTTTTCCCTCGATATATATATATATATATATATATATACATACATACAATCTTTCTCTACTACAACAATACTGGAACAATCGTTAAAGCGATAAAAGAATAAATAATGTTATTTAAATTTCAATCGAACAAAGTTACAAAAATAGAGAACGGTGTCCCCGCCTCGACAAAGAGTACTCGCGTTTCTTATCTCTTGTTTATTCGTTAATTTATCTGGAGGGGTTATCCGGAGCTATATTCGCTGTATATCGTGAACCGACGAGGACCGGTAGTCGATTTCGGGACGCGAGCAGGCGCGACCGGATAGGATCGTGTTTTTCCTTTAACGTTAACTTTATTATTATTATTATTATTATTATTATTCGTCGCTTCGTTATTACTTATCACCCGTTACAAAGAGGCGTAGGGGGAGGCAAAGTTTATCGCCCGTTTTATTATCGTGGACAATTCTGCTCACGCGTTTCATCACGCGACTCGCGACAATCCGTCCGTTCGAAGGAACAATACCGCCCGTATTTCGAGTGTTCGGGGGCAGTGGAATATTATTATTGTTATCGTTGGGGGGGAGGAGGATATATCGGAAGGAATATTACGACGATTGTAAGTGAACGCTTTCTCGTTCTCCCTCCCCGAGGAGGGAAAGGGGGTCGAAGGTCGCGGCGATAAGGGAAACGACGGCCTTCCACGATCGAATAAGTAACACGCGATCGATCGGCGTTACGCGCAGTCCATTTTTCCCGCACGCTGTTCACGCGCCACGAGTCATGAGGAACTTGAATAATCAGAATGGCCAACAGTTCGATCTGATCGCCGAGAGCAGGAGCGACGACTTCGACTCGTCGACAACCATTCACCACGTAATTATTGCGTTACGTCGTTTATATATGTATACATATATAATACACGGGCGAGAGAATTAACTTCTTTGCGTTCCAATGATGACTCTCGATTCGATGCGGCAATATTTATTCACGTTTGATTTGTTTAAAATATCGAAACGAGTAGATTCCTAAGCTGTTCACGTGCGATCTTTCTTTTCCTTTATCTGAAATTAGATCGCGGATCGAACTGTATTTTCGGTGTTTGAGCGGCGATAGAGATATTATTTTCAAAGTTTTCGACGTTTTTAAGCGCGAATTACGGCAATGAAAAAATAATGAATTAAGAAATTGACGATAGAGAGAAGGAAAATAGCGGAAATGGAGATGCAGAATAAGTCGCGGTACTTGCTCTGAAACCGAGGACACATCTTGGTAATTACTTTATTATTAAAATACCAGGCGAAACAACAATATAGACTTCAATATTCGACAAATTTTCTTTCGTCTATATGTAAAGATGCATAAAATATTAAAATATAAAAGTTAATTTGCACGTGAAATCATTTTAAGTTAGCTAAGAAATTCGTCGAAACAAATCGTTGTTGGCCTGGAGCGCAAAGGGTTAATTTCGTCGAATAGAAGGAAAAAAGGAAAGGAAGGATAAGAATTCAGGAGAGGGTATTAACGAGAATGCCTCTTTTTTCCAAACAAAGTCTGGTTTCAATCGCGCTCATATTCGTCTCAATCGAGTAGAACGGATTGGCTTGCGGAAAAAAGAGAGGAATCGAAGTGTGTTTCTGTTTGCAGGAAGAGAACGAGGATCTGAACGAGGATCTGAACGATCCGTACTGCGTCGAGGATAATCCCCAGAGGATCACTTTCGAGGACGTCACGTCGGCCGCTTTCAAGATCAAATGCGGGATCATCAATACGCCATGCGTGGTACGATTTATTTACTTTCACGTTACTTAATACGATAATAATTAATATCGACACGGTCCCATCGAATTTGATCAAAATTTTATTCTTCCTCGTCTTGTATCTCGATACAATTCGTTCGTTTCCTCGCGACTCCTCCTTGAGGCAAAATATAAATTAGAGCTAAAAGAACCCGTAGAGTTTTTCTTTAACCTCGCCAAAAAGATCAATTCGAAGGATATTAAAATTCAATCGCGAATAAAAACTTTCTTCGTTTACTCGAATCACCTGATTCGTTCCTTATATTAGTTCCACGTCACGACGAAGACTACATAACGAATTCCATTGCTTTTTATCCTCCAAATAAACGAAAATTACCCAAAATATAACATTTCATTCGCGCAGAAATCGCGGCTCTCGGATACGATCGGCGTAGATCTATACCTGAAAAAAGATTTCCTCCAAGTGACCGGAAGCTTCAAGGAGCGCGGCGCGAGGTACGCTCTGGTGATGCTGTCCGAGGAGCAGAAGAAGATCGGCGTGATCTCGGCCTCGCTGGGCAACCACGCCGGTGCGCTGTGCTATCACGGGTACAAGCTTGGTATACCGGTGACCGTTGTGATGCCTGTGATCGCGCCCATCATGAAGATCGTCGCTTGTCGCCAATACGGAGCGAACGTGATCGTCGATGGCCTCGATATGGAAGAGGCGAGGCGTATCGCGCTTAGACGGGCCAAGGAGAAAGGGCTGACGTATATAAACGGGTACGGGCATATTCTACTTCGCCACGCTACGGAATTGGCCGTTGAAAAAAGCAACCGGTTGAAATTTCAAATTAATGCAGCACCGATTAAAAATTCAAAAGCGGTCGTTTTTCCAATTTCACTTTTTTTTTTATTCCCTTCGATTTTCTTAAAGTACGAGAGGACATTAACAAATCTTGAGGAAAAAAAAAAATACAAAAAAATGTTGTTTTATGGAAGAAAAGGATTAAAGTAATTGCATTTATTTCGTTTGAAACGAGAAACAAAAAAAAAAAAAGGATCAAAAAAGTATTGAAAAATAAGCTTTTGGTTAAAGTTTACGACTGGTTACGATATGGTGAATTTTAAAACATGGAATGGCACAAAGAGGAATG